TAAAGGGATTTCTGTTCTAAGTGTAATGATATTTGTTCTAAGTAATGGAATTTCTGTTCTAATTAGATGTCCGGCACTATAAACAAAGATTATTACCGCTAATCTTGAATATTTTGCAGATAATTGATGATAACCCACCCATTGATTGTTATCCCGGTTAATCTTCCAGAAAACATGATCTATATATATATATAAAAATACATTGTTCATTTTTGAAATTCTGATAACACACTCGATGATCAAACCCAGAAAAAATATAGAACAAACCCATCCCTGAAAAAAAGGTTTCTGTATGATCCATGTTTTCTTCCAAAAATAACGCCCCTGAAAAAATATTGCCCCGAGAGCCATTTCTCAAGCTCACCAGTTGGTAAAACCCACACTTAGAACAATTTTAATGGACCATATTCCCCCCACAACACTGGAACGTTTGTCCCACTGACAAATAATATTTTTAAAAATATACATAAGCAATTGAATAGTGTATAGAAACAAAGAATTAAGTATTCGTTCAAAAACACTTGCTGCGAGACCCCCCGCCTGCGCTCACTAGTTGGTGAAACCCACACTTAGAACAAACTTGAAGGATACCAATAACCATTGATTGTTCTCCCTGGGGGGCCTGGTGAAGTTTTTTTTGGGGTTTCAGCCGAAAGCAGCACACTCCACATTTTATATAGAGAAATTATCTATATAAAGGAACTGGGTTTTCTTCCGGCATCCCTAAAAAGGATTTTAGCAGGATCCATTTCTCATGCTCTCCAGGTGGTGAAACCCACACTCAGAACAAATCACATTTTGTCGTTATCCATCTATATATATATATATACATACACACATTTGAACCTGTATATGTGTATACGTTTGTGTCTATACTTGTACATGTGCGTATTCAGTTGGCGAAACCAACACTTTGACAAAATCACATTTTGTTGTTATCCATAATATATATATATTTTTATTTATTTAATTGAACCTATATACATTTATACGTGTTTGTCTATACTTGTACATGTGCGTATTTAGGTGGCGAAACCCACACTTAGAACAAATCACATTTTGCCATTATCCATTTAATACATATATATATATATATATATTGTAAATGGCAGGGAACTCTGTTCAGCTGAAACTGCAATGGTCCACCTATCCAACGTCCCAGAAAGTAAATACCCCTTGATATCACACAATCCAAAAGATCAGCTGGCACAATGCACTGTACTGTTTTCTGCTGAAGGCTCAAAGGTCTGATTCGAAGGTTCTGCAAGAAGCGGCCTCGCTTCTATGTGTGTGCAATCCCTATTGCACCTTCAAGACCACCGGGCCAAAGTCAAATGGCTCCAAGGGCAAAAACCCACCCACCTCACCGCGTGGCTCCCTGAGCCAAAGGATGCTTGCAGACATCCAGCATGTTTGTCTTCCTGACCAAGGAATGGAAAGGACAGAGTGGTTAACTTAAGGGGCAACATGAATCCAAATCACACTCGTCTTTTTTATAATTTTTCTGAAGATGAAGATTCATGTTGTTGGCTTCTGAGCCACTTCAACCGATCCTTGGTCTTTGCACGCTCCCGGAGGGTGGATTCTTCGTCGCACAAACGGTACACCCCCAGTTTGAGGGTCTCACGCAAGAAATGCGACTCCATGGCCTTGGTTAAGGAGTCAGCTAGTTGTGCACCACTTGGCACCCATCGCAAGTGTGTCCCTTCTTGTAACGATTCCTTAATCGCACGTGCCATGAGTTGAACTCTGAACTCAGAGCATGACGGTGGGGCCGTCCTAGATACTAAATCGTAGAGGCTTTTGCAGTCCGTTATCGCAACATCGGAATTTTCAAGTTTTGTTGGAACAGTAATGGCGGGGGCCAATTTGGTTAAAGCTTCCTCAGGCTTTTGCCATTTAACTTGTGGGTCATGGATCCAGCTCCAATAGAGCCTCAACCACGACAACTGATCAAGAGTTGATGATAGTGCCATGGTCTCTGCTGCTAGCGTGCTCGTCACTACCTTTTGGATTTTTCGACAGCCCCAAGTCAGTGGACTGATAGGGCATTGGTAGTTCTTACTGATGTCTTGGTGCGTACCAACAATGATGGAACCGGCATGAGAGTCAGGTTTGGTAGTTGATGCAAATGAGGCGTCTGAGAATGCCATGAGTCGGAAATGTTGATGGGGAATTGGTTTGATAGTAATTGACAGGTCATGATGTCGTTTGGCTTCATGTAAAACTCTATTGGCTTCCATCAAAGTTTCGATTTTGGCTTTGTTAATGGCTGATTGTAGAAATGAAAGTTTGCTGGAAAGATCTGGTCTGGTGTTGATTGCAGCATATTGAAGGCTTCCAACTATACCCCGAAGGGCTAGTCTTTCTTTTTCGGTGACGGGTAGTTCAAGTTGGGATTTTCTGTTGCTCTCCACCATGATAGGATTGATCTTTCGAACATATGCTGATTGGTTGAGGGTAATGCTGAAATCACTGTGTTGATTGACTTCGATACCAGTGAAAGTAAATGATGAAATTTTGTGGGATCCAAATGGAAATTTCTTTTCAAGTTGCTGGATTTTGTTTTCAAACAGCTTACTGCCACCTCCTATTCCATCATCAACATGTACGCCAAGAATTCCTTCAAGCTGATGAGTTCCAGTGGTTTCGTTCCATGATCGCAGGACGAAACAGCACGGATCAAACGGCGACGGCTCAAATCCTAGATGGACTAGCTCGGCAACCAGTGCACAGTACCACAGGTAAGGAGCATCTATGAGACCGTAAACCCCTTTATTTAGCCTACAGATTTGTTCTGGTTTCAAGTTCATGGCTTTTCTGAGCTCTGGTACCGGGTCCACTGCGATGACACGGTCAGCCTGAGGTCGACCCTGCAGAAAGGCTGCCTTAATGTCAAAAGACCTTAATTTCCAGGCATGTGAAGCTATCACCTGTAGAGCTAACATTCGGGAGGTTTTGTTCAAGGTCGGACTATCACGGGGAATTTCCTCAATTTTGGGATCAAGATATCCTAAGACCACTAGTCTGGCTTTTGCCTTGTGGGTACGGTTAGAATTTTTCTCAGAACCCTTTTGGGAACCTAGATCTGGAACATTTTGTCCCGCATTATCCAAAGGCTTCCACGTGAGGATCCACCTGCAACGCAGGATCTGCTCTTCCGGTATTTGGTTACGAAGTACTGCACTGATGGTTCCAGTGTTGAGCCATGTGTCCACTTCAGCCCTTTTGGCCTTTTGGAACTCCTGAAGCTCATCTGGCGTGAGTGTCGACAACTTCACCTCTGATCTTTGCTTCTTCGCTGTCGTTGCTAGCATTGCCCATGATTCCATGTCATCAGGTATTTCTTGATCTAGGGGTTTGTTGAGTGGTACTTGAAACTCGCATCTCCAGGCAAGTCCATACATATCTTTACTGGTGAACGCATTTTCGGCTTCATGACATGTTAAACACACCAGTTCTGCGTCTTCAGTCGGTGGCTGGCTGTCGAGCTGATCGGATTGATCGGCGGTTTGTTGATCCAGAGTTGCTTCCGGTGTCATGCTCTCTGGTTCTTGGTCTGGCTGATTGATGGATTCCTCTTGGCTGTCGGAGTTATTGTCGGGATTATTTAATTGATTAGTGTCAGGGTTTGCGTTCAGGAAATTATCTTGGTGATTAGGGTCATGTAGTGGGTTATTGGGAATTTCCATTGCATCCTGAGTGGATATTGGATTTTCCTGCATTCTTTGGATTTGTTGGGTAAGCGGTGTCACATCTTCTGGCAAGTCTGGTCCTTCTGGGATGCCTTCTTCCGGAAGGGCAAGTCTTGTGTTTTCTGGAGCACTTCTATATATTTTCCCCCGTGACGTACACCACACCGTATGGGAACCATCTTGGAGGATTACTCTATGAGGACCTTGCCATTTATGTTGGTTTATGATCCCTCCATATCATTACCCATTCCCCTTTACTGAAGACTCCTCTAGATGGACACGCTCGTCTGAGTGCAGCTCGACGAAGGATGTCGCAGTTGTCCACTTTGTGAAAGGCTCTGCGAGCAGCCTCTCGGACAGCGAGCATCTTCCGGAATCCATCTGCTGGCATGGTGTCCAGCTCATCGAGAGCCATCTGGTGTGATGGGATTGACTCATCACTGAGCACTGAGCCAGGTAAACGTGAGTGTTTTCCAAATACGATTATCTCAGGGGCATATCCATGACGGACACTGAGAGTATTCTTAGATTGGGTACACTGGTTTAGGGCTACTTGTAGTGCTGGGTAATCATTTATGGGATATTCAAAATCCACTTTGTCCAACATTGACTGGAGAAAAGCACCATGTCTCTCAATCTTCCCACTTTGCCAGTGGGCTTCTGGGCACGTTGTTGTGGCTCTGATTCCAAAACGCTGGATAAAACTAGAGAAAGGTTCGCTGTTCATTTCTGTTGCTGAGTCAACCACCATCTCACGAGGAGGTCCTGCCCAACTGATCCAGTTTTGGTTCAAGTGTCTGATCAGTTCTTCAGTTGTTTTGGCAGGGGCGGCCATGGCTACATGATAGTTTGAACCTGCATCCACCACATGGTAGAAATGAAACGTATCACCTTTCTTGTTGGTCCACTTGATTCCATCTAAGTAGATCTTATGGTTAAAATCCAACATTGGCTTCAAGGCTGCAGGTCGGGAATGTTTTGGAGGTGCATTTGCAGAACATACTGCACATCGAATTTCCAGGGCAGCCTGCACAACTTCCGGTCGGGATCCATTCACCTGTAGAGCCTTTGCAAGACGGTCGTTTGAAGGGTGCCCTAAGTTTTTGTGCATTCGGAGAATGGACTGCTGTTCCCACTTTGGCAATCGACGAAACCTCTCATTCTGTTGTTGGGTTACCGGCTCTGGTGGTCGATTGACCGACTCCTGAGAGGGTGTATTGATTTCCTCTCGGGTGGTTGTTGGCAGTCTGTCTGGCTCTTCAGCATCTTTTGAGGGCGTGTTATCTGTACAAGCCTCTTCGGACCTTATGGATGACATACCATCATCGGGAACTTGCATCGGACTCTCGAATTGGGTGGCCTTCTGACCACTTTGATCAGGTGATCGCGCAGCATCCACTTGTTTCTGGAGATGGTGCTGCACTTGGTCATCATTGTCATCCTTAGCAAGATCTTCGTTGGAAGAAGTGGGAACCTGGTCGGATGCAAACATTGTTACATTCAGCCTACATGCATGTGATGGCCTCACTAGTTGCCTCTTGGAGAGGTTGGTCCATTGTTCCCAATGCTTTTCGAATTGAATATTACCATCCCTTCGAAGGATCAGCATTCGGCGGTATGGTGCTTCCTGAGGCAGCATGTTATTTGGCGGCATCATGGTGCGTTCAGTCCCCCTGCAAGTCATGACTCTGTGGATATGTTTGTCAGTGAACATCTGCTGTAGTTGTTGGATGATGTGTTGATCGGTGATTTCTCGCTTTCCTACTCTGGGAACCTGCTGACTGATTGCCTGGATGACTTCCTGGCGCCTCTCCATGGTTGGGTGCGACGCCTGTTGCGGATCCAGTTTAATCCGCTTGGCCTCATGCAGTGATCTGGACATTGGTGTGATCAGATCGGACTTGGGAAATGTCGACTTTTGTCGGAACTTGGTAGTAACCATGGCATGTTCCGTCATGAAACCAAGGGACATTCCGGCTTTCCAGTTGTATGGCAAGTGTCTATCCCCTTTCATGAAAGTCAAGGCAGCAGTTCTGGCAAATTTCCGTGGATACACTTCTGTATATTGGGTTCGCAAAACTCGTTCACCGTTTTTGAGTTTACATGCTCCCTCAATAGGTTGATGTTGATGCCGATGGTCACAAACCAAACCGTGCAGTCGATCGAACAGCGGGGCAAAAGTTGTCAGGATTGTCATGCCCTTTTTCATAGGCATGTAGTTTTCCGGATCTACCAAGTTCCCTGCCCGACACATGTCGAATTGACACGCTCGAGTATGTTCATGAACTTCTGCAAGGTGAGTGCATTGAAACATCAACGACTTCTGGGGTTGTTCCCAATGAAAGTGATCTCCATGTTCAACTTGGCGTCGAAAGAGTATTATCCCCAAGGCAATTTGGTACAACATTGTGTTTCTTTTGTTTTGGTACTCCTGTTGGTGATGTAAGGACCTGGAGGCATTTAACTGGGACCATGATGACCAGGGACCACACACCGGGCTGTACCATATTTGTTTAGGCCTGTGACGACACAAGAGTTGAAACAACTTGGCACGGCCCTCGACTGTGGACAGGTCTCCTTGATCTAATCCGAACCGGAACGCTGCCCTAGCTGCAACATTTGCTGACACAAAGGTGAGTTGGGGCTACACATGATCATCGACTTCACCTAACACCCATTTATTTCCCAGAGGTCTAGTGGTGTTCTTGACATCATCAAGTTCTTGGGACATCAGTTCAATCATCTTTCCCAACTCCACTGCTTCGGTGGGCATTGCTGTCAGCACATCGGATTCCCAATCATCTCTCACAGGGTCCCTTCCGGCACATTGACCTTCTCCTGAAGGGCTTGGTCTTCCATGTGTCGAATCACTCTTGTCAGGGCATTCTCCAGGTTGAGCATCCTCGCCTGGAGCGCGGTCATCTCCTCCTGCTGGTAATATGGTGTCTGCCCCATAGTCATGGAGGCTAACATCTCGGGCTCCATATCCCATTCCAGTTCTCCATCCAGCAAAGAGGTGTTTGATGGGGTGGCCAACGATTTGGCCATCGGCTTGGCTTTGGCTCCGGCATGGCCACAACCTCGCTGAGTGCTTGGCGGGACTACCATTTGGCCCTGCTCCATGGACTCCACCTTGAGCTCTACCCACTTGAGGTATCGGCGGTGTGATTCTTTGGTGCTCTTCTGGTATCTGTTGATCATGAATTGGACCCATTCCTGGTCTTCCCACGTCTCACTGAACATCTGGCCTGCATGTTTCTGTCCGAATGCCACAACTTCGGAGTCTAGGTCGGCCAGCGTCAGGTGATCCAAATCTTCCACAGTTGTGGTTGATTGGATCTGCAGCTGACGAAGACGCTGGCTCAAGGACGACATGACGGTGACACGGGATCGGACAGTCAACGGTTTGGGTCTGCCTACGATCTACTGCTTGACATTTACCTGCTTCGGTCGGCTGGCTCTGTACACTTTCGACTTTCTGGCATGGTGACACTGGGACATCTTGTGAGCTATCATGAGGGTCCCCTACATCTCTGTGATTTGATTCCTTCGACATCATGGCTTCTGCAGTACTTTTCTCGGTCTCATCGGACACGAATGTTTCTGCACAGACCTGTCTCGGCTTCTGCATGTCATCATCACAGGACGCACGGATCAGTTGATTGAGGTCAATCAAAAACAAACCTTTTGGAGTAAGTTGAAGTGGAACCTTTTGTTTCAACATTGAGCTCGACAAGGTCTGAGATGCACAATCAATCCTAGCCTGCAAAGTCTGCATCAGCGTATTGCTAATGAGGAACGGAGTTCCTCCAGGCACCACGGCAATCTTAAGTTTCAGGGATCCTATCGGTACCACTAGCGCTTGTCGGCTGGTCAGTGTGGCTTGATTTCCAAACCTGAACGTGATGTTGCATGGGCACCCGGACAAACGCTGACGGATGCTTGCATCGAGGCTCTGAATTAATTCTTCAAGACTGTCACTTCCGATTACGGTCTTAGAGGCTCCCAGGTCAACAATCCCATGTGAACCATGAGTTGCAAAACAGGCAGTGGCTTCATGCTCAACATGTTTTGGAGGGCTCAACCTTTCAACACCTGGCTGGGATTGGACGACAAACTGAGCATTCGGTTGATGCTCTCGGCACATCGGATTGCGGCTCATGAGACGTCTGGCAAGTCTCATCTTGGCGGTGGTCGGCTGTTCATTCCTGAAGTTCCAAGACTTCAGGCGGTCATATGCACTGGGGAACGTGTTATTATCCCTGTTACTATTATCAGATTCCCCAAGAATCCCTCCCGGACAACAAGGTTCTTGAACTCCCCTTTCATTATGAAAACATCCAAAAATTGGAAAAGCATCATCTATGGCTTCATCTTTGAGGCTGGGCAACTGCATGAACTCGAGGGGAAGGACATCGCTCGATTGATCTACAGTCACGGTGGTGACTGGCACACTCCCGGCTGCAGTGGATGAGGTCGTTGAGGAGGCATTTCCCGAACCATTCGAATTTCGATATGGGCATTCTGCCTTCCAGTGACCCTTCCTATTGCACAGTCTACAGGTACTGTTGAGGATGCGGTCTTGTAAGGATTTCCGATTCTTCTGAAAACCAGTGGACTTTCCCTTTTGGAAACCCTTTGATGATCCTCCTTTCCCCTTTGAAAACTGTCCAAACGACCGACTGGATGTTTGCCAGAATCCCCTGTTCTTGAACTTCTCCGTCAATCTCTTCCTGGCTTCTACATAAGCGCTATAGGCTGAGGCTAGTTCAGTGTCCTCCTGTAAAACCTCATTGGCAGCAGCTTCATAGTCACTTACTAAGGCAGCATCACTGTCCCCTTCATTGAGAAGACATTCTACAAAATCCTCTTCAGTGATCTCATCTTGAGTGTTGAAAGCTTCTTCGGTGTCTACATCGTCAGTTACCAGAGCTGTTGCACTGTACACCTTCGGTTTTGTGGGCTTACGATTCCCAGTGATGTCATGGAAAAAGGCAGCTCCTAACAGTCTCACGGCGTCAGTTACCTTGCGCACTGTCAACTTACCCTCAAGGCTGTTGTCTGCTTCAAGGATGACGCGCTTTTTCTCATCAGGAGTCAAATTGGATCCACGCAGCAGTATGAAGGCTTGTAAGTCCTCCAGCGACAGCTTTTGGCTCAGGAGTTTGCTCCATGCCACATCGGCTCGGGCCAAAAAGGAATCGTTGCTTTCATCACTGTATTGATTAAGGTGGTAGAGGGCTTGTTCAGCATCTCGGTATTGACGCTCAATGCCAATCTTCCCCCATTGTCCACCAAGAAGATCTATCAGCTTCCTCACTGATTTCTCGTCGTTCTCCATGAGTTCTGCATGATGAAGTTGTAACTTTGCAAAGGCGGATCCAGAGCTGTGGAGAATCAATCTCGTTACTAGTTCAGGGATCTTTGTCTTCGGCCATGCTGAAAGTAACAGCTCCACCTTCTGTTGGTATGTTTGCATGTCATCTTTTGACGGATCAAACGAAGGGACCAATGTGGCCAAATGATTGCCAACTCCGGTTTGGGTCCCATCGCCTCCATCAGACGTCGTCGACGTCCCAGCAAAAATGCCCCGGATGCTCCGGCCAAAAACGTGAGCCGGAGCTCCGCTACCAATGTAAATGGCAGGGAACTCTGTTCAGCTGAAACTGCAATGGTCCACCTATCCAACCTCCCAGAAAGTAAATACCCCTTGATATCACACAACCCAAAAGATCAGCTGGCACAATGCACTGTACTGTTTTCTGCTGAAGGCTCAAAGGTCTGATTCGAAGGTTCTGCAAGAAGCGGCCTCGCTTCTATGTGTGTGCAATCCCTATTGCACCTTCAAGACCACCGGGCCAAAGTCAAATGGCTCCAAGGGCAAAAACCCACCCACCTCACCGCGTGGCTCCCTGAGCCAAAGGATGCCTGCAGACATCCAGCATGTTTGTCTTCCTGACCAAGGAACGGAAAGGACAGAGTGGTTAACTTAAGGGACAACATGAATCCAAATCACAATATATATATATATATACACATTTGGACCGGTATATTTGTATACGTTTGTGTCTATACTTGTACATGTGCGTATTCAGGTGGCGAAACCCACACTTAGAACAAATCACATTTTGCCATTATCCATTAATATATACATATACACATTTGAATCCGTATATTTGTATACGTTTGTGTCTATACTTGTACATGCGCGTATTTAGGTGGCGAAACCAACACTTTGAAAACATCACATTTGGTCGTTATCCACATATATATATATATATTTGAACCTATATACATGTACACGTTTGTGTCTATACTTGTATGTGGGCGTATTTAGGTGGCGAAACCCACACTTAGAACCAATCACATTTTGCCATTATCCATTAATATTTTTATATATACACATTTGAACCTGTACATTCGTATACGTTTGTCTCTATACTTGTCCATGTGCGTATTTAGGTGGCGAAACCCACACTCAGAACAAATCACATTTTGCCGTTATCCATATTTATTTATTTATATACATACATACATACATACAGACAGACAGACAGACATACATACAGGTTAGAACCTATATGCATATATACGTTGATGTCTATACTTGTATGTGTGCGTATTTAGGTGGCGAAACCCACACTTAGAACAAATCACATTCTGTCGTTTCCCATAATATATATATATTATAACGTATATAATATATACCCTTATACATGAAAGATACCTAATTCCTTGCAGAACTACATACATAGAATATAGGTCCACAGTGAAAATGTTCATCCATTTTTTCAGGAACGCCACCTAATTCCATTGGTTTTCATTGCAAAATAGTTTCTTTTCATAGTTCTAGGACACCGGTCGTGGGGGGTAGGTACCCTTCGGTGAGCCTGAAAAACTCATGTTTTTCATACAATATAAAAAGAAATTGATCATTTCGGGGGACCTGTTTTTTTGTTAAGACGTTCTACTTAGGAACTTCAGACATCCAGGGTTGCTACTCTCCAAAGGGAATTACATATATGATATATACTCTTATACATGAAAGATACCTAATTCCTTGCAGAACTACATACATAGAATATAGGTCCCCAGTGGGAATATTCATCAATTTTTTGAGGCACACCACCTAATTCCATTGGTTTTCATTGCAAAATATTTTTTTTCTTTCATGGTTCCCCGACACCGGTCGTGGGGGGTACGCTTAGGTGAGCTTGAACAATTTTATGAAGGATTTGATGGTAATTTAGTGGATTTTAGTGGGGTGAAAAGTTTGAAAACTGTCCATTTATGTCCATGTATGCTGCAGTATGGGTGATGTTTGGATAATTAAAAAAATACAAAAAAAGATCTTCCAGAATTGAAAAATATTCTATGTACACTCCTGGTGTATTCTATGTACACCGTTTTTTTCAATTCTGGAAGATGCACCAAACAACCTATTTTTGTTCAATTCTAAATTCTATGTTCGGGTACCTCACTATATAAATATAGTATATACACACACATTAGAACCTATATGCATATATACATTTGTGTCTATACTTGTATATGTGCGTATTTAGGTGGCGAAACCAACACTTAGAACAAATCGCAGTTTGTCGTTATCCATAATACATATATATATATATACATTTGAACCAATACATGTATACGTCAGTGTCTATACTTGTACATGTGCGTATTTAGGTGGCGAGACCCACACTTAGAACACATCACACTCTGTCCATCTCTGTCCTTATCCATAATATATATATAAAAATACACACACACTTGAACCTATATACATGTATACGTTTGTGTCTATACTTGTATATGTGCGTATTTAGCTGGCGAAACCCACACTTAGAACAAATCACATTTTGTCGTTATCCATAATATGCAAATATATACACACATTAGAACCTATACATATATACGTTTGAGCCTATACTTGTACATGTACGTATTTAGGTGGCGAAACCCACATTTAGAACAAATCACATTTTGTCGTTATCCATATAATAAAAACATATATATATATATATACGCATTTGAACCTGTATGCATTTACACGTTTGTGTCTATACTTGTATATGTGCGTCTTTAGGTGGCGAAACCCACACATAGAACAAATCACATTTTGTCGCTATCCTTAATTGTTTGTATTTAAAAAATATATATGTATACGTTTGAACCTATATTTTATAGGTTTGTGTCTATACTTGTATATGTGCATATTTAGCTGGCGAAACCCACACTTAGAACAAATCACATTTTGTCATTATCCATTAATATTTTTATATATACACATTTGAATCGGTATATTTGTAAACGTTTGTGTCTATACTTGTACATGCGCGTATTTAGGTGGCGAAACCAACACTTTGAAAAAATCACATTTGGTCGTTATCCATATATATATATACACACATTTGAACCTATATATTTGTATACGTTTGTCTCTATACTGTATATGGCGTATTTAGGTCGCGAAACCCACTCTTAGAACAAATCACATTTTGTCGTTATCCATAATATACATATACACACATTAGAACCTATACATATACCTTTGTCTTTATACTGTATATGGCGTATTTAGGTGGCGAATTCCACTCTTAGAACAAATCACATTGTGTCGTTATACATATTTATTGATATATATATACACATTTGAACCTATATGCATTTATACGTCTGTGTCTATACTTGTATATGTGCGTATTTAGCTGGCGAAACCCACACTTAGAACAAATCACATTTTGTCATTATCCATAGAATATGTATATTTATACACATTTGAACCTATATGCATTTATACGTTTGTATCTATACTTGTCCATGTGCGTATTTAGGTGGCGAAACCCACACTCAGAACAAATCACATTTTGTCATTATCCATAGAATATGTATATTTTTACACATTTGAACCTATATTTATTTATACGTTTGTATCTGTACTTGTACATGTGCGTATTTGGCTGGCGAAACCCCCACTTAGGACAAATCACATTTAGGTTGCAAAATTAGACATGGTGTCCGGGGAATAGCATACATCAAAAATCATGAAACATGTTTTTTGAATGGCAATGTTTGCCAAAATTGTTATAACATGTTGTTTTGAATGGCAATGTTTGCTAAAATTGTTACATAATGGTGTTTGTTTTTGTTCTAAGTGTGTTTGTTTTTGTTCTAAGTAGTGGGGTTCGGATGGTTACGGTTTTAGTTCTAAGTAGTTTTCCTTGTGTGTTTTTTTTTTCCGATTTTTGTTTTCCAAAATTTGTTCTAAGTAGTTGTCCGTCGCTATAAAGCTCCCTCGAGCCAATGTCTAGTGAGGAAACGCAATTCCTGGTTCAAAAATCACGACCTTCCCTAAAAGGTCGACTGAACAATTCCAAACTGTGTTGCGTCACAAAATCAGCTAGCTACAAAAGCTTGATCTACTTCCAAAAGTTCTCAAATAATTCCAATTCTCATCCAAACGTGAACAACCAGAGTTTTTTACACTCAAGAACGAAGTAGATGATTACAAATGCTCTGTACAATGTTCTTCTGGTTTACCAAACTTCCTGAAACCTCATGTTTGTTCTCCAATAACATCCCGTTCAGCCAAAACAAAGTTCCAGCGTCTCGAAACATGATCGAGAGCAGAAAGTTCTGCTCAACATCAAAAGAGTTTCCAGTAAAACCAGTGCGAAGTATTTCGATGAAATCACCAGATAACCATGCGATGCAGTATCACCAGACATAGAAGATACGCGATGGATACCAAAAGTCCCGATCGCAATGTAATGTCCAGGCCAGCTCCAATAGATGAAGATGGACACCATAGCGTACAAAAGCATTGGAGGTCAAATACCTCACGCCTCACTAAAAGAGAAGCAATGCTTGCCGATAGAGCATCACGTTCTCAATATAGTACCAGGTCATCAAAACCGGTGATGACCACTTCATAGAATACAAAGGTAAGGGCATTGTGCTGGAAAGCACAATGCTCAGTGCTTAGGCATGATGCCAAAATCCAAAGTTGCAGGTTGATCTCGGTCTTGAATCACAAATCGACCAAATAACCACCAAATTCAGGTCTGACAGTGCCATTCTTCATGAAATCGCGTGACGTTCACAATGGTGAAGGTCACGGCTGCTGCAAGGTCAGCAATGTCATACTTTCCAGAGATTCACTTGATGCATTGTATTGTGGCGGGCGCGCCCAGAAGGCATATTTCCACACCCCCTTTCGGCGTCCACAATATCAATCTCGCAAACTGATCTTCTGAACGCAGAACTTAGCCAACGCCAGAGTACAAAGTTTGCAGAATAAGCAACTGTAAGGTGAATGTCCAAAAGCACCGTTGCTTTGTGCATGATATCCTCCCGACTGCGTGCTGCACCAAGAGGACAAAAGAAAACTTCGTACGATGTACGTATCAATACGGCGTGAACAAGAGAAATATAAACTCTCCCCACGAGTCACACGATCGGAGATCCGCATCAATATGACCCGTCATGCAGAAAAGAAATAGTCTCTGACTTCATCCGCCTCCAATGAAGACGGCATAAAATGTAACTCCAGCCTTGTTCTTCAGAACCAGTAAAACTGAATCAAAAATCTCAAAACTGATCAATGGCCTTCATGACGACTGTCGCTCAGTGTTTCGTCTCACCAATGTTCACAAGATGTCCAGAATCCTTTCTATCCAATTCCAAGATAAGAAGCACACCCACTTCCATCTCAAGTTCCAGATTCAGAAATTCCAATCAATCCACAAAAACGACAAAATAACCATGGCCTCAGAAGAAGTTCACTACAGTGCTGTTGCAAGAGAAAAGGATCCCCAGAGAACACACACGAGCGCAAACATCCACTGACGAAGCACCTTCGGAGTCAGCATGAAAACAAAAAACAACTGTTTCAGCGCAATCCGACACCCCCTGAAAGACGGTAGGCGTGTGAGAAACTCAGACAACTGCAATCTCTCACGCGGGATTAACTTCTGTGAGTCCCCAGGCGTCTAGATAAGTTAAGGTCTGGAAAAAGTGGTCCTCTGGCTTTCGGAAATTTCTTCATCCAGAGTTGCAAGCAGTCCCTAACCCAGCAATTGTGTGAAAGATCTCCTATCAAAATGGAGTCATCGCTAGTCCCAGTTTTGGTCGTCTCATCCAACTAAGAGGGAGGAATAACTATAGCCCAGTGTGGATACCGTTTACCTGCAGGGGGGCAAATTTGTGAAGAATGTAGGGAGAGGCATTCCGAAGGATGCATATAACCATCATACTGTAAGGTCAGGTTCATGGCAACATCCAAACGGCCTTCCTCCACCGCCAAGGTCCCCAAATCCCATAGGAACTCTTCTGGGACTGGCATCCTCATCTTCCCAGGATTCATCTTGCGCCACCCCGCTAAGCTTTGCCTGGCTCCAGCCAGAAAGGCCTCTTTGGTCATTGCACCGCAAAAGTTGAAGTCCATAAATAGTATATGCCGCAGCAGATAGGTCAAAGTCATGATCATATAGGTGAGTAATATATGCTGTGACGTGTCTGTCTAGCTGAGCATCCGTAACTTTTCTGCCCTGCCCCCTCCTTAATGCATGTCAGACATCTGTTGAGAGTCCTCTGACCAACCTTCAGAGCTCTAAGCCTGGTGGCAGGAGGTAGGTTCTCGCCATTGAGCCCGGTTCTCACTGATTTCCTATTCCTCTGTCTGCCCGTGGATCGGCTTTTTGGCGTACTCGGCATCGATGTCGGACCTTTTGAACTGAGCAAAGATGGCCGGGTGCTTGTGGATGAAGTCACGTGCCTCTTGGAGCACCCGGGGGTCGCAGTTTGCCTCACCTTCCCAATTTGGGTGATCAGGTGCATCGGCAGCTTGCGAAGTTTCTCTGTCAGTTGTACATCTCGCCTCTTTGAGGGGTTTGTCAAACTCATGAATCTCTACATCCGTCACCTTGCATTTACGGTTGCTTGGTCCTATTTCTCTAACCATTTGAGCCCACCTCCGACACAGTCTCGAGGGGTACGCGCCCGCCAATCTAGTGAGATTTCTATAAACTAACTTGCCGCCAATCTCAACCTTATCTAAACCTTTCAGGTGTTGGTGGGTGTGTCCTCCCTCGCATGACATAGCCAGTGAAAGGAGAGCCTTCTCATTGGTCATGATCGCAGTGCGCTTCCGAAAAGGCATGCCAAACCTACAGTGATCGAATGTGAAAAAGCAAATGGATTTGTTTTGGAAAAGGTCCTCAATCGGTTTGCTGCTGGGATTTTCCAAAGTGAACTTAACATTATGCTAAATGCATTCTCTGATGACCTTGACTGTGAAAAGTGCTGTACCAACTGCAAACCTCTCCTTCTGCCTGGCCCTCTTGTGATTGACAATTCCATGCCTAGCTCTTGACCATGCTGTGCAAGGAGTACCCAAATGTATGTACCACACATGTCCACCACAGATCAGGCCCAAAACTACTTCCTGAGCCCCTCCGTCCAGTAGATTATAGTGCTGCCCCTTCGCCGCATCCAATGCTGGAAGTGTTCTGCTGCCAGACTTTTCAATCGCTTTACTCAACCGTGCTGTGCCCGCAAAAAGTTCTAAAAATGTTGTGGGTCCAACCTTGAGATTCTCGACCTTTTTCAACTTGGATGGTTTGGAAGGAATACTGCCCTGCTCAAATGAGTCGATGAAAAAATGTTCACCCCGAGAGTTTCTATCCAACCTCCTAGATTTCAAAGGTCGCTCAAAATCGGGGCCCCACCGCCGTGATGGCGCGCTAGCAACGTTGTCCTCTGACCTGACATGGCGAAGTCTCCACTCGATGGAGCATCCAATTTGATATGCAGCTGCTCTCTTGCACAAGTTGTTCAAGGCAAAAACCCCACTTCTCCCCTTCTCAAACATGAGGGCTGAGCATAGGTTGTCACAAAGGGTCAAACAAGTGGTGCCCATGTTGGTTACAAGTCTCCCCAATCTTCTCAAGCTCATCAATGCCACCCTGGCCTCTTTCACGTTGATATGCTCCTCAACATCCCGCCACGCTCCCGATGCCAAGAGCTTCCACCTGGTGGGATTGGTCCATCTGCTTGACACTTCAGGGATTGCATGAACTTCCAATAACGTGCTTGGGGAGTCCTCAACTGGCCCTTTCAAGTCTTGTAATCGGCTTGAATTCGCCCCAAAGATGGAGCCCTCATCGGCCCCATCTGCTTTGTTTTGCAGTTGCTTGCCATACTCTGTTCTCGCTCCCACGCCTGTTGCCGCAAAGCTGCCCTTGAAGGCGTCATCATCCACATCCTCAAAGACCTCCGGAGGCCCACCCCCATTCGGATTGAGCACAGCTTCATTGCTGACAATGAACCGCCACTTCTCTCTCACTCTCAGTTCTGCTTCCACATGTGAAGATTCTGCAAACGTGCTCATCAGGCCATAACCGCGATCTGATGAATCCCCAACATGAACTTCAGGATTGGCAGGAGAAGAAAGGTTCCGCCCTACCGTGAAGATGAGCCCCAAGATGACTTTTAATTCTTTGCGAACTGCTGGCCACATGGGGTAACGATGGTGCCTGTGCTTGGCCGCGAAGGCATAGCATGCACTTAAGCAGGATAGCAAGGGCCTCGCCAGCAGGAAGTGGAAGTTCGCGTGTCCAATCCAGACCCTCAACAGTTCCCCACTAATCCGTCGCCGCCTCAGCAGCGCCCGAGTGTCCAGCCAGAGCTTCCACGCCCTCTCACGCTTCGCCCTGACGACGACTCTCTCTTTCTCAAAGTTGAAGGTCAGTCCCAATGTGTCAACTGAGGTTTGTCCAGAAACATGATCAACTTCAAAAGGAATACCTAGAGATTCGCAGTGGTGCTGGATCTTGGTCATGTTGTCTGACGCATCCTGTATGGTCCCACCAAAGGTGTGCACATTGTCAATGTATACCCCAATCACAGCCTTTCCTGGTGACAGCATCGGAGCAGTCGTCTTGTCCCTGACAAGTTCACTTGTTGTGGTCCTACATGCTATTCGACATTGTTCACTGATTATTTCCTGAGCAAAGTATAGAGCCCACGACCAACGCACGGGCATGCCGCCGAAACAGACCAAAAGAGTCTCCCCCTCTACAACCGGTGTCTCAACTCCAGCATCATCGTCATACATGGTGTCTTTGAAGATCGCTAGTTGTTTCATCTCGGGCGTGCTGGGGGTGTCACCAGTGCTGAACCAAGAAAATGTTTCTTTGATGACAACATTGTAAAAACAGTCACCTACATCTCCAGTCTCTAACCCGGGGTTTGCAAAATTGGGTTCACCTTGAATTCCATTAAACCCTGCAGCTGAAAGAGTCTCCCAATCAAAATCCAAAGCCGCTAAGCCTGCTGGTGTCGCCAGTCGTGTAGTGGCAGGTCGTCGCTGCAAGCCGCTGACGACAGTCCACTATGAGGCGTTGGGTGTTACCTGGTCTGTTGCCCTTCTTCTTCACCGTGAACATCCCGACCTTGGCCTTCTGTCTGCGTCTGAAGGTCAACAGTCCACATTGATGCAAACGTTGATAGAGCTCTAAACGGAGTTTCCTAGATGCCCCTAACTTTTCATCCCAATGTGGCTTTACTATATCCCCATTATTACGTAACCCCTCCAGCTCATGATGAGGCCGTTCTACCAGCAAGTCAAAGTGGTTCAGGAATGCACAAGCCTCAGGAGGTGCCAAATCCTTGGCCTCAAAGGCTCAAAGGGAGTCAGCTTTCGCTGCAAGATCTTGATCTCATTAATGTCAGAGTCGGCAACATTCAAGGCCTCCTGGTTGTACAGGTTGGCATTGCTAGTCAGGTCGGACATCGCCCTGACTTCATTGAGGTCAGCTGGACATTCTCCATATGCTTTGACCTTTCGTTGAAGATCTCGCATCATCCAGGTCTGTACGGCTGTCAGATCGAGCTTCTCTGTTTGGCCTTATCAAAAACAGCTGCAGCAAGTTGATTCAACGCTCCAAACGCAGAGTCTACCCGCCGTGTCAGCATAGAAGCAGCATCAGGTCGACCTAATCTCGGCAAAGGGAAAGGATCACCGTGCCGTCGGTGGACCGACTGCCATCAAAAATCAAATTCTGGAAAAGAACATGCACAATCTGCCTTGTCAGAGGTGGAGGAATTCATCCCGGCAGACCCACCTCCAGGACCGGAACTCATGTCGCCACCGGGGGGTCGCCCTTGCCACCTCCCTTGGATTTCTTCTTCTTTTTCGTCTTTCCGGCCTCATCATCGTCGGAGTCATCACCTCCTCCTTTGCCCCCTGACCCTTTGCCGCGAAGATTCCGGCTCTCTTGATTGTAGAGGCGCTCCTGCTTCCACACCTGAGCCCGTTCTTTCAAACGGGAGGTGACCCATTCTGTGAACTTTGCCGTCGAGGCTCTTCCATCTGATTGGATCGCTGCCCCGCTGACTACGTCGAGCCCACTATAATCGGGCTGAGCGGGAGTCCTCTCAACGGCAATTTCTGTCTGCACCGCCCACCTAGAAAGGAATTCACCGGCAGCTGTGGTGCTGGCCTCGATTTGATCATGTGTATGAAGAAGTCGCAAGGCCTCGCACAAGGATCGGTGGATGTGGGCTGCACTGGCACGCTTTGCAACACCAGACTGACGGAGCCATTCAGCGTGGTAGCTCAGGAAATTGCCCGGACCACTGGCTACAGCTTCGTGATATTCACGCGCTGCTCTGACACCAGCGATGGGAAACTCTTTGTCTTCAGTCTCCTTCATGAGCTCAACCGCGCTTCCCAAGTCCATGCATCCCTGTGGTCACCTAAGAGCCGATCATCACCGCCCTCAAGGGCCTTCCTTTTCCTCCAATCTTCCAGGTCATTCACCAACACCCGCTCCACATAGATCTCTTCTCCTTGATCAATGATGACCCCTGTGGTCGAAAAAGCCAGTCCAGTTGCACCATTGTTGATCAAACCAACATCAACTCCTACCCCAAACTTTGGATGCTGAGGCTCACTGATAACCCATTCACAGGCCTCGGAGCCTCGGAGTCATCAATGTCTCCGTCACCCAGGATAGCAGCTTGAACTTCGGATTGACGTTTGAAGGCAGACAATGTGGACTTACCTATTGGGTCGTGGGCGTAGATCTCATCTGCGATGTCAGCAGGAAAAGGACTGCATCTCTCTATGATCCACCAAGATCATGTCTGACAATCTCATGGTCCGGGCTCAGACAAAGCCACACCCCCCCAGCCACACGATGTAGCAAGAGGCGATGGTGCCAATAGAACCCATCTGTGTAAAATTCACGAGGAGCTGAACTTCCGATACATCCAGAGAGAGTTCCATTCCTATTTGCCTCCCTTGAAATCCGAAGGTCTCGAAGGTCGGCCTCTCACCCCTGATCCCTTTCCGGAAACTATAGGGGCAGAGTTTTCAAAGGAACTGCTGGTTCGGGTTCAGACCCCTCTGTTTCAGAACAAATGTCTACGATCCCCACAGAATCCGGTGATCGGAGTGCCGGGTAAATTCGATATTTCCAGACTCAGATACTGTTTTCCAAATCACCAACAAGATGTCAAAAACCAAACTCAAACGAAGCAACCACTGTTGAACCCACAATCGCCACACGCAGCTATCTTGGCCTAGTTGCAGCTCTTGCACTGATTCACGAGCAGTCTTGATCTCGGCCCGGAGGGCTGCAGTTTCCTCGGCAATGGTCTCCAAGAGCAAGGTCTCTCTCTGGGATAGATAGTGGGTCAGAAACCCAGCCACAAACGCAATCCGCACATGCATCAAGGAAGCTACCCCAAAGAAAGAAGACTTGAGATTAAGTGTCACGGGCATGTACCATGACTCAAGATTTAGATCAGTTGGGAACCTATATAATATACAATATATGTCATATATTGTAAATTAAATAATGTTGAATACCGATTAGTGTCCTGGCACTCTATTGTGAGACAATTTCCAAAAATTATTGAGTATCTTGTGAATGGGGGGGTGGGCCTCTATTGTGAGAAGTTTTTTCTCAGATCCAATTTTTTCAGGAGGAGCTTTATCCACCTTTATGCACATTTCTTTGGGTAAAGCTGGTCCATTTACTTTAGAAAGCCATATCCATGTTAAAGCCTTGAAAGTGCAAGGTTTCCCAAATAATTAGATGCCTTATTAGACCATTATCTAAAAACAGCACCAAAACATTTTTTCAAGGGGATACCCCATGAGTGACCGAGATCCTCAATAATGTAATTGTTTCGATGGTACCATATGGTACCCTATTGTGCACAAAAACTTTTGGGGCATTTTTTTGATTTAAAAGAAGGATCAGTTGAAAGTAGATTGATGTCAATTGAAATCCTTACTTAAGTTGACTATCCTAAAAATTGTTGGGGGGGCTGAAAATGCCGAGTTATTGAGTAGCCTAAAATTGTTGCGGGGGCCCCCTACACTAATCAGCATCCAACATTATAGATATTATAGTGTTTTGTATTTGTTTATACTGACAAGATCTGACAAGCACCTAAAGTATCGGAGTCTCGACACCAAATTTACTGTCAGTGACCTGTACAAGAATGGCGACGATACCTGGATTCCTTGGTCGGTTTAAGTTGCATTGACCCAGAAGCAAATCCAAAGCCCCCGGTTCTGTTGACATCTGCTGACATCTGTTGACTGGGTGCACGTGCCTGGGGCTTTCCGAATCTGACGCTTGCACGGCGGAATGGAAGGTTGAGTGTGATGAAGCTGTCTCTAGCTGGTTTTGCGCCGGTAGGCATGGGCATACCTTGCTTCAACTTTTTGCTCCTCTGACAACCACTTCTTGGTGCTTCAAGGGTTTCCATGTTGCAAAACATGACACACAGTACTATTTGCAATAGTTTTATAATGTCTCTTACAGTCTTCAATGGCGCTGCAGAAAGCCGCTAGGGATCTGTTCAGATAACACTCATTTTGGGAACAGCGCTTTCATGTGGCCTGGTGTGACTTTTGCGGCACCTGGGCACAGAAACGAGAGTCTAGTAGTCCAGTGGTCGTCAGCGTCTGCGACCAGTAGACTTTGCAAAGACCCCATTAACACAAAGCACCTACAAAACGATCCGGTTCACAAAACAATAATTCACGTTTCATGTCGAGTCTAGTGGAATGAACCTGAAAGATCTGAACACATACATGCATGAAAGCAAGCTTAGGATGTTTGCAAGAAAAATTAGTCTGCGGAAATGCACTTCGAAAGCGCACAGTACAGTACAACGACAAACTGCAAACACATGTTGTTTGCTTTTCATTTTGTGAAAAACAACGGAGGTGACATCAATTGCCCATTCAGGTACCTAAAATTGAGGTACTGTACCTTATAATATAAGGCCATGTTTTGTAGGGATATTCCCTTACATAGGCCTTACATAGACCTTACATATGGTAGGTACCTTCAATTTAGGAACCTGAAATGGCCATTGATGACAGCCTGCATTGCATAGCATGTTTTTCGGTATGCCGCATGTTGGTTCAGACTTATTCCCATCTCAAATACATCCATCGTTCATCTCGTCTCTGAGATGAATGTTGGTCCAGCTATAAAATAAATTGCCTTGATAATCCAGAGTTTGGGATGATATGCTCGGCATTTGCGGTGTGCAAATCAATCAGCTTAAAAAAAACTGATTGGTTCGCACATCTTCCTGAGTAAAATTTGAAAATGAACATCAGCTATATCAATGACAAGACATTAATCATTAAACAAGTGATGCAAGTATATGCAAGTTCACATTTTTCTCAATTTTATTCAATTTTGGTCTTGCTTCCTCTATTTGGCCAAGGGATGTACCTCTGCTCTTGCGTGTTCCCTTTGGCGGCAAGCAAGATGGCCTGGGCTGGCTCCATCCACCCATGTAGAAACACCAAGACCTTGACCAAACCCAACTACTTCTGAAAATTGCTGAAATAGGACCAAAATGGACCAAATAATGATCAAATCGCAAAGCATGACAGTATGTTGGCAAGCATTGGCAAGTATGCATAACATGACTTTCCACAGTGTTGTTTCTGTGCTTCTCCATCAGCCAAGGTGTGTGCAACTGTGTCTCACCCTATTGAGAGGAAGGCTGAGTCCAGTATCAACTCCTCCAGAAGTTTAGCTCGCCCACATCGTTACTGTACATGCAGGGACTCCTCTATCCTCTGAGCCTCTTGCTTATCTTCAAAGACCTAGCAACTTCGCTTGAACAAGAAGCATTGCTTTAGATTCGCTGGAGACTTTTGGAACAAAATGGAACAAATAATGCAAAAACACACTACGCCCTCTGGTGCAAACCTGCTGAATCCTCTGGTTTCAAGGTAGACCACCAGGAAAAAAAAACATGAAAAAACATTGACATGAAACAACAATCACTTGGCTCGGAAAAGAACACCGTCTACAAGGTTCTACAAGCACTGCTGCTGTATATCTTGTTACAAACAAGGAGTCATTCAGTTAGTCATTTGATGTATTTTTTTTGTGGTGGTTCCGGTTGCATTTTCTTAGTTCAAGGGGGCATCTTTGGCGATGCATCGGCATCTCATTGGGTAGGCATCGGCATCTCGAACACTTTACCGGCTTTACCGCAGCCCAAAGAGTCTTAATCCAATCATTGGTTAGTGGGGAGAAGCAAGCAAATGACAGGATGTGCTTTTGAGCCCGAGAGCCCGAGAGCATATCTTTACAAAAAACAAGATCATTCAAAAATCATTCAATGATCATTCGATGATGATAATGATGATGATGATGACGACAGGGCGAGGACGAGGACGATTGCGACGCGACGATGGCGATGACGACGGCGATGATGATCATGATCATGATCATGATCATGATCATGATCATGATCATGATCATGATGAGGAGGACAATGACGACGATGAGGATGATGACGGATGATGAAGGACCATCATGCTCAGTTATGTAATTGTCTAACTGAAACAAATCTATTTCGGCTTACTGTAACCCAGAAACTGCATGAATTTTCAAACCCAGCAAAACACAGCAAAACCATACAAAACCAATAGACGCCAGTGGGAAACCCATTGAATGCACTGCAAAGCCTTGCCATCCTGGAACTCCTCATCCACATAGACAGGTAGAGGAGAGGCCAATGCACAGGGTGCAGCATTCGAACTGCGAAAACATGCGAAAGCGACATGCTGTTGCTGCCGGGCACTGTTTGGTTGTACCAGTATCATATGACTATCAGCACCCACGGAATCAAGGCATCTAATGCAATGCCATTCTTGATGTCAGAATCATCCAAACTCCCGAGGCGATGCAGGTACTAGTACAACACATCTTGACATTGTGAGGTGAGGAGACTGGTCAAAGAAAAGTTCGTCAAGTAGGTCATGACTTGTAGACTATTGGGTGAAGTATGGTGAAGTCACAAAAGACATGAGAAGAATGTGCAAGACTCCCTGGGCTATTCTCACGTTGCCAGGGAAGGCAACCAGGAGCAGCAAGGACAAACAACATTGTATGATTAGGCTGCATCTGAATATGTTTTCTTGAATCAGCAAAACATCTCCAATACAGAACTGAAAATCAGCTCAATCATATCCTTTCTGTGGCCACCATCAAACAGCTATTTTGATTAGATTTACAAGCATCCAAAATTGACAAAATCCATGCAATAAATGAGATACATCACGATGATGTCATTGAAAGGAAGTGCTGAGAAGACCCCGCAAGGCTTCATGAGTGTTGGTCACCTTCTGCCCTGCGTGGACTTCTTCGTTCTCCGTCCTGAGAAGAATGAGCAAACAGACAAGCAC